GCGCCAAAGACCGACATCGAGCAAAACGTGACCGTCTCTGACTACACGCAGATGGCGCGCGGCCGGCCCCACGCGTGCGGCTTGCCGGCCCTCCCCTCACCGCGGCGCCGGTGCTGCAGGACCGGATCCTCAAGGAAGAGCGCAAGTACATCCTCGACATGTGCAAGAAGGTGCAAAAGAGCGGCTGCAACGTGCTGCTCATCCAAAAGTCGATCCTGCGGGACGCGGTCAACGACCTGTCGCTGCACTTCCTCGCAAAGATGAAGATCCTCGTCGTCAAGGACATCGAACGCGACGACGTCGAGTTCATCTGCAAGACATGCGGCTGCCTGCCCATCGCAAACATCGATACCTTCCACCCGGAGAAGCTCGGCCGCGCGGAGCTCGTCCACGAGGTGTCGACGGGCGACGGCAAGATTGTGCGCGTGACGGGCGTGCCGAACGAGGGCAAGACCGTCACCATCCTGTGCAAGGAGCGCGCCGCGCCCGCGAGCCGCCGCCCGACCGCGCCGCCCGACCGGCCCCCTCCGCCGCCCCTCTGCAGGCGTCCAACAACCTCGTGCTCGACGAGTCGGAGCGCTCGCTGCACGACGCGCTCTGCGTGCTGCGCTGCCTCGTCAAGAAGCGGTTCCTCACGCCGGGCGGCGGCGCCCCGGAGATGCGGCTCTCGTACGAGCTCTCCAAGTGGGCCGACTCGCTGCTCGGCGCGCGCCCGCCGCCCCTCCCCGCCGCGCGCGCGCCCGGCCGCAGCCCGCCGCCGCCCCGCCGCAGGCATGCACTCGTACTGCGTGCGCGCGTTCGCCGAGGCGATGGAGGTGGTCCCGTACACGCTCGCCGAGAATGCGGGGCTCGACGCCATCCACGTCGTGACGGAGCTGCGGAACAAGCATGCGGAGGGCGAGAAGGCGGCGGGCATCAACGTGCGCAAGGGCAAGGTGACAAACATCCTCGAGGAGAACGTGCTGGTGCCGCTCCTCGTCCACACCTCGGCCGTCTCGCTCGCGACCGAGTGCGTCCGGCTCATCCTGAAGATTGACGACATTGTCATCACTCGGTGAGCGCCGCGCGCGGCTGTGCCCTTGACAACCGATTCTGTAACCGCGGCTCACGGAGTCCGACGGGGGTGTTAGTATCATGGGGGCGCGTTCCGTACGCCTTTGTAGCTCTTATGTTGTTAAAATGAGGGACGAACTGCCGTGCACCGTGCTCCGACACCTCCGTGAAAACCGATGACTCGAGGAGCTGGCCGGGCGCCGATTCCTGCGCTTTAAATTATGTATTCGTATATCTCCACTGGTTCCTCTACTTATACGCTGCCCGCCACCGTGGTCACCGCGCCCGTCGCCACCTCCACCCGCCGGATCTTGTCGCCGCCGAAGTCAGCAACAAACAGAGAGCGCTGCCTGGGCTGAGGTCGACGCCGCATGGGTAGTAGAACTGCGCCGCGCCGCCCACGCCATCAGCACTGCCGCGAGTGCCGCTGCCCACAAGCGTGGTCACCGCGCCAGTCCCCACCTCCACCCGCCGGATCTTGTGGTTGCCGAAGTCTGTCACAAACAGCGCGCTGCCGTCCGGGCTGATGGCGACGCCGCATGTGGGTAGTGGAACTGCGCCGCGCCGCCCACCCCATCAGCGCTGCCGCGAGTGCCACTGCCCGCAAGAGTGGTCACCGCGCCAGTCGCAGCCTCCACCTGTAGGATCTTGCGGCCGTCAAAGTCCGCCACAAACAGAGCGCTGCCGTCCGGGCTGACGGCGATGCCGCGGAGGCCGGCGCCTTCCAGGGTTGCCACGCTGCGCACGCGCCCGGCCGCAGAGACGTGCAGCACTGAGTCAGCAGTGGTGACGTACCAAGCGTCCGCGCGATCACTTGCGACGCCATTCATGTCGCTCGCTGCCAGAGGGCCGTCCTCTCGCCCTCGAGCGGCAGCGTGGTGACCTGGCCGAAGGGACGCGCGCGCCAAAGACGGGCGCCTCGAAGCCATCCGCGACCGCCACAGCCCCGCCGTCCGATTCGCCGTCCTCGCCGGCTCGGGCGCGCTTGCGTGCGGGCGAGCGGGCCGTCAGGGGCGGCGACCCCCCCATCTACAGATGATATGCGCATATCCATATGTTCCGACCTACATATGTTCCGACCTATTTTTTAGCGACGCACCGGCGACGCACCCGCGACGCACGGCGACGCACGGCGACGCACGGCGACGCACGGCGACGCACGGCGACGCACGGCGACGCACGGCGAGGTCGGCGACGCACGGCGACGCAACACGCATCGGCGACGCACCTCGACGCACCCGCGACGTGACGTGACATCCGACTGGGACCCACCACATGGCACAAATACATACCTTTGTACACAAGTACGTGAGGCGTGTGGTATACACACATAACGCGTACCGCTGACCGCTCAAAAGCACGAAGAGGTCAACATAACAAACATTGTCTCTTTTGTCTGTCTCTGTGTATGTGAGTGTGTGTCTGTGTGTGTGTGTGTGTGGCTCGTCAACGTCATTTGGCCCTGAGGCGCAAGTGGGCTGAGAGCTGAGAGTCCCCAGCGCAAGACACGCAGTCTGCGCCACAACAGACCGAGGTGTCTCAGTGGACGCCGCGCGAGCTGCCTGCGGCCTTCTTAGCCCGCTTGGTGTCCACTGCTTTCTCCTTGGGCTTCGTCTTCTTGAGGAGGCTGCGGAGCTCGCGAAGGTCGAGCGTCATCTCGGGCAAGCGCGGTCGGCCTGACAGCACGTCACGCCAGAGGCTCATCGGCCGGTCGATGATCGACGCCGCCATAGAGCCCTCGATGTAGTTCGGATGCCATAGCCACCCGGCCGTCGACACGACGGACTGGTCGCCATCGACGACACGGATCGACGCGACGCTACGGCCCTGCAGCGTGCTCTGCGCAAACGTCATCAACGACTTTGGCCCCCACGCGCGCCGCTCCTCCTCCTCCTTCGTTGCTGGGAAGGTCCGCGTCGCCTCAAGCTCGTGCTTCACGTAGAAGCCCAGCCTGCGGCTCTGGGTGGGGTCGAACATCTTCATCGGGTCGAGATTCACCTGCCGCAGCAGCTCAGCAAGCTTCCCCAAAAAAACCACCGCGAGGCGCTTGCCGCGATTGCTGGCCTCAAAGGCGCGCTCGCCGATCCGGATCAGGCAGCGTAGTGCGTCGTAAATGAGCCACTCACTGCTCTGATCGCCAGTGATGCTGATGTTGCCGGTCTCAAAGCCGTCCAGAAGCTCCTCCACTCGCTCCTCCGACTCGGCAGTCAGTGCGACCATCAGCTGGTCAAGGATGATCGTGCGGCTGTTCTTTGCGCATGTGATGCTGTCACGCTCCAAGGACGGGTGGGCGCCGATCACGAGGCAGGTCACGTCCTCCGGGTAAGCAAACATGCAGCCTTTGGGCTTGAGCAGACCGCGCCGTCGCGAGCTCGTGAGGAGCGCGACTTGAGCGCGGATGCCATCTGCACTGGCGCCTCGGTAGCGGGTCTCCGCCCCCTGCAGCCGTGCTAGCAGCTCGCTTTTTGGGGTGTCCCGGTTTCCGCGCAGCCCTTGCACATGGCACGCCTTGATCAGAGCAGGTTTTGAGACACCGCCGCTTGCACGGATGCGTGCCGCAAGCGCGGGCACGTCTTCCGCCTCGGCGGCCTCGTAGTCGACGTTGTCTTCGTCGCAAATGGCCGTGAGCGCGGCTGCCTCGAGCTCCTCGAGCCACGGCAGGCGGAGTTCCTCGAACCTGCTGAGGTAGGCGTCGGTGGGCAGCGGGATGCCCGATTGAAGGCAGAACAGGTTGAAATCCGGCTCCATCGGCTCAAACGTGTCCGAGCCTGTGATGTCGTCGACGGCGGCGGCCGAGGGCCCGGCGAGGGCGGCGCGCTGACGGCCGAACTTCCGGACAAGCTTGGGCACCGACGTCTTGGCAGCCAGCGTGGGCACTGCGCCAGGCGTGAGAACCTTCAGCGGGGCCTTGAGCGCCTCATCGGTCTCCTGCAGCTGCTGGTCATCGAGCACGAATGTGTACGTGCAGCCCGCGTCCACTTGACCCGTCGGCTGAGCGACCAGGCTGATCCTGTCACCGTTGAAGAGCAGGCGCGATCGCTCCCCGCGGCGAAGCAGTGTGCATGTCGAGCCGTCCGCGCCCCAGATAGCCACTGGATTGATCCCCATCGCGAGCACCGATGCGCTCGGGCCCACAAGCTGGATGAGGGCCTGCGAGCCTGACATGGTCATATGGTTGGCAAACTCGGGGTTGAAGTCGCGGCCGATGACAGTGCCAAGCACATCATTGGCGATCGGAATCGGAATGCGGCTTTCGGTCGACTGGAGGCATGGTGGCGGCGGCTCAGCAGGGCCGTGGCGGGTTGGCAGGTGGGCCATCGCAGCGAGAGAGCGAGACAGCAGAAACGACACAGAGCGTCTGCGACCTGGCCTGCAGACGCGCAGGCGCAGACTGAGCGGCGTTTGTTCGGGTGTTTTCTTTTCTTTTTGGTTTCTCGTGAAACCGCCTCTCTCTCTCTCTCTCTCTCTCTCTCTCTCTCTCTCTTCTCTCTCTCTCTCTCTTCTCTGTCTCCCCCCCCCCAGCGACGTTACGTTATCCAGAACCGGGAATGGTGGAACTCGCGGGGGCCGACCCTCACACACAGACAGACTCGACAGACTCACAGACAGAGCGGACAGGCAGGCCAGGCAGGCGCACACTGACAGAGAGAGAGAGGGACGCTGCCCCTCCTGAGCCTCACAGTCTCCCACACACACGCACGAGTACAAATACGCGCGAGGCATTCTGGCCCCCGTTTATGAAAATTGAATTTGTGTTGGTGGAGACTGGTAGAGAGGGCGGCGGCGGCGAGGGCGGCGGCGACGGGGGCGGCGCGGCTGGAGGCGAGGGCGAGAGCGGCGGCATGCCGGACGGCGGCGGAGGCGAGGGCGGCGGCGGGGCGGGCGGTGGCGGCGAGGGTGGCGGCGACGGAGGCGGCAGCGGCGGCGGGTGGGAGGGCAGCGGCGGCGAGGGCGGAGACGAGGGCGGCGGAGGGGAGGGCGGATGCGAGGGCGGCGGCGAGGGCGGGGGTGAGGGCGGGGGCGGCGTCGGGGGCTGCGATGGTGGCGGCGGCGTGGGCGGGGGTGAGGGCGGGGGCGGCGTTGGGGGCTGCGATGGTGGGCGGGAGGCTTGACAGTCACTACGGGGCGGTCGATCGGGGCCCCAACTTCGTGGTCTCCCCACCACCCTCCCCACTGCTCGTGGGCACCCTGACACACACACACACACACACACACACATGACGCCACGTGTCCTACCCTAACATGAGAGGGTTGTGCCCGAGCACCACCTTATTTCGCAACATAGCCCATAGGACACATGCCATGACATGCTCCGCGCGCGCCTCTCGATTCGCACGCGGATCAAGCGGTCGCGGTGGTCTTTGACGTGTAGCGCTCTATGAGAGCCGTCACGATCAGGCCAAAGGTGATGGTCGCGGAGAAGACGCCCCCAACCACCGCCGCGACCACGCTGACACCTCCGCTCTCGTCTCCTGTGAAGCTCTGGATCATGACGGTGATGCCGGCGAGGAATAGAGGGACCGAGAGCTGGAACGCGCGCCTGGCGCCCGTCCGAGCCGCACGCATGGCACCGAGCTTCCAAAACGCTCGGAACAGGTCGTTCTCCTGCGCGACATTGTCGAGCGTGGCGGACATGATGTGCGTGCCAGCCCAGTAGATGGTGCCCGTTGTGATCACCGCCACCAGGCAGAGCGAACCGGATGTGGCCATGAAGAGCACGAACATCCATTGCACCGAAGACCCGTCCTCCATGTCCTTGGCCTCGACAAGCAGCGAGAGCGCAAAGGAGCCGACGAGGGCGGCGCTTACGCCAACGCTCGCCTCGGCGTCAAGGCGGCTGCGCAGCTTCTCCTGCTTGGCGATCGCGCTCTCAAGAGGGCTCGCGCGCACCGTTTCTTCGCCGGTCTGTTCTCGTTTGACCTTGCTGTACCCGAGACATGCCTTGTCGGCCATGAACTGCGCGGCCTCTTGAGATGATCGACGGCAAGAGAATGCCCGATTTCCTTCCTTCACCCCGTGTCCTTATGAGGCTTTTCTGGCTCTTTATGACCTCCAGACTGACCCGGAGAATCACCTCCACCCAGCCCCACCTCAGCACCCCTATTATCACTCTCTCCCCCCCCACAGTGATGAATAGTCTACCTATTCCCTAAATGATATTCCCACACCCCGTGCAGTGGCACGTCTTGCCGCTGGATCACCAATATTAGCACATTGGGCGCCGAATAGGCGCCCAAATATTGGCACGTAAGGCGCTAGCATCGGCCGCTCATCGCCACGCGCCGCCGCCTAGAGAGAGAGAGAATTCTTGATACGAAACCACGACGACACACACCAGTCGACTCGCATCGGTTGCCTCCATGAACGGCGGAGCTATTCTCGCGCCCACACCACACCTGGCTCCAACGTGGACACGCCCATAGCTGGGGACACTACTAGGTCACGCATGGCATCACAGAAGTTTTATCTCTGGGCCCCGAAAGGCATCTCTAGCAGTGTCGTTACACATGCCCCCTCCCGTCCTGGGCGCATGCGCCTCACGTCTCGCCAGAGCATAAGCCCTTGGCGTGTGGCGAGACGAGTTTTTCGCCATCGCAGCGAGCAGCAACCCGCCCGCCGCAAACAGCCGGAGGCCTCGCCGCGGCACTGGCTGCGCCGCGGTCTCTCTCTCTCTCTCTCTCTCTCTCCGCCGCCTCCTGCTGCTCGTCATCCTCCGCCTCGAGGGCGTCCGCCAGCGCGCTGCGCCGCACGCCCCGGCGCACAGGAGGCGGCGCCGGCCGCACCTCGGCCGCCTCGGCGTCGCCCGCGGCACGGGCGCCATGCTCGCCGTCCACGCGGTCCATCGCCACATCCCCATCCCCATCCCCGCCTGCGCCCGCGCCGGCCTGCTCTGGGACGGCGCGCCACCGCTCGTCGTCCAGCATGTGCCACCACCGCCGATCCGGGTAGCCGTCGTACTCGACCTCGTGCACGATCCGTCCGTCCCTTGTCCTCCTCCCGCGCCATGACGGTCGCAGGATACCACCGCTCGCTGTCGCAGAAGATCTCGAGGCGCGATCCGGTGGGCAGGACAGTGTGGCCGTCGAGCGCCGCCCTGGCATCCTCGAGCTGTCGCTTCCGCCGCATCGCCTTCGTCTCCTTGCTGCGCAGCAGGGTGTAGTTCGGGCCCACCTCCGCCACGCTGTCCAGCACGTGGACGGCGCTCGCCATCTCGACCGCGTCGTCCTCCGGCGGAAGCTCCGCGTCGCCCGCGGCCTGCCCCAATCTCGAACAAATCTCGAGTCCTCTCACACACATTGTACATACATACATACATATCCTGGGGAAGCGGAAGACCCCCCAAAACGCCCCACAGAGTCACTCAGTGTCTCGTGGTGTGTGTTTCGCCTTGCCGCTTGCACTTGGAACACTTGGAGTGCAGTCGGTAACCTCACACCCATGGCCCGCCGGGAGCTTGCGTCTCGCCGCGTCGCCGGCCACGTCACGTCACACGTGCCCGTCGTCGCCCCCCCGATCGTCGCGCGTGTCCCGCGCCTGCCGCCGCGCCGTGACGGTGGTCGCTGGCGATCTATGAACTTTCCTCCCGACGTCCTCGAGCGTGCAGGACTGACACCGTGCGGCGAGGCATGCCGCGCGCACTGGGCCTCCTTTGCTTCCGCGCGCCAGGCGGAGGCAGCCAGGCTGGACCGGGAGGTGCCGCCGCTGCTTCTCAACCTCTCTTTGGCCGCCGAGCCGGTAAGCGGCATGCTCTTCGGGCTCAATATGGAGCTGGTACGGCACAACATGTTTGCTGGGCTCTCTGCGCAGTTGCTGGCCAACCGGCTGTTTGGCAGCGGAAATGGGACGTTTCCGCCGCGCTGGCACCCAATTGGCTCGCCTGCTCTTGAGAGCCCTGGGCTGTCTGGCCGCGCTGGCACGTATGCCGTAGCCTGTACGAGCGAGGGCAGGCGGCACGCCACTGGAGAGTGCGGTATCTACCAGACAAGAGTAGGGGCAGGCTTTGAGTCGGGGCCAGGCGACGGCTCCGCCATCCCTTTGCAGTCGGGCCGCTGCTATACTGCTCGGCTTGTGCTGCGCGCGGCTGCGAGAGGGAACTGCTCCACGATCTTCACGGCCGAACTGACAGACGACGAGCGGGGCGTGTCCCTCGCCTCGTGGGCCGCCGCCGACGTCGCCAGCAGCTGGTCTACGAGGCACTTCAACTTCACCTCCTCCATCAGTACCATGTCGGCCACGCTCCGCGTCGCCGGCAGAGCGGTAAGTGGCGATCGGCGGTGCAGTGCCAAATTCTCGATCGGAGCTGTGTCATTGATGCCGTGTGACCATGTCCATGGCGCACGCAGAGACGTGCTGCGCCTCTTGCGGCGGCTTGGCTTCCGTGGCCCGCTACGCTGGCCGGGGGGGTGCTACTCCTCCATAGCGAGCGACTGGCGGGACGGGATCCTGCCTCCCGACGAGCGGCCGCCTGTGTACAACCCGCCCGGCCCATTTTGTGGCGCGGTCAGCGGCGGGCAATTTGGCTACACCGACGGCCTCTCTGAGAACTGGCCGGGGGTGGACGAGTACTTCGCTCTCTGCCGCGAGATTGGTGCGACGCCGGCAATTGGGGTCACGCTGCAGTTTGGAACGCCCGACGAGGTGGAGAGCGCACGTGCGCTGCTGGAATATACCAACGGCGACGCGTCGGGGACACCGATGGGTCGCTTGCGTGCGGCGCGCGGCGTGACCGAGCCGCTCGGTGCGCGTGTCATATACCTGGGCAACGAAATCGGAGCCCAGCTGCGCTACTCGGGTGGCCGCGTGAGGCGGGTGGACGGTGGTGAGTGCAACATGGCGGCGGGCGCGTGCCCGCCGGCGACGCCGCGCGAGTACCGGGACATGCTCGCCAACCTCACGGCTGCGCTGCGCGGGGTTGACCCTTCCGCGAAGCTGGTCGCCTCCAACGCGGCGCCAAACATCAGCAGCTGGGACGGCTCGGGCAGCTTCGACATGGGCCGCCGCGAGATGGAGGAGTGGCTCAAGCCGCCTTGGGGCTACATGCAGTCGACCGCAGTGCGCGAGGCGCTCTTCGCTCATAGCTACCACCTCTACATTCGGCAGCCCGATGCGTGGGATCCGGCCTCGATGACGAGCCTCGCCAAGGCTGCGGCGCGGGTCGCGATGCCCGCGCTGCACTACCACAGGAGAAGACTCGACACGGTCGGGCGCGCCAAGAGCGCAAAGATTTCGCTCGACGAGTGGGGCGTCGGCCCTCCTTGGCGGGTCCGCTCCTTTGGCGCGCCGCACGCGATGTTCGCCACCGCATTCCTCTTGCAACTCCTCAGACACGCGAAGCCACTCCGTCTGGCCTCTGCGAACTTTTTCGAGCCCGTGAACGAGGGGGCGATCTGGACCGGCCCGTGGGATGCCGGCTTGACGCCACTTGGAGAGGCGCTTGCACTGCTGTCGGTACACCAAGGGCAGCGGCTTCTGCCGCTGTCTGGTTCCGATCCCGACGACATGAGCGGGCGCGGAGGCGACGTCGAGGCCGTCGCCACGGTGGCGCGCGGTGGCGCTTCAGTGTTGTTCACGCTCGCCAACCTCGACGCTGCCAGCGCACACACGCGCGCGGCGAGCCTGCCGCTAGCCGAGGCTTCGCGACATGCTTCGCCCAGCGTCGATGTCCTCCTTAGCTCCACCGAGCTGCGCGCCACGGGAGTAGACCCCGTCAGCAGCGGCTGGCTCGGCGCCGTCGGTCGCTTCCACGTCGGGCGGGCCGTCCTCTCTGCGAACTGCCTCGGCGCACGCGATGGGGAAGCTGCAGAGGCGGAGGCCCGTCACACCGGCAGGGGGGGCTCGGGAGAGTTGATCCTACGGTGCTCCCAGCAGAGCACGTTGCGCCTCGAAGCCCAACTGCCGCCGTATAGCGTGACGCAGGTGCACATTTCCATCAAGCACGACAAAGAATGACACGCGGCATAGCATATGCATATTTTCCGACGATCGGGACGGGCCGCGCGCGGAATCTCGTCCGGTCGCGGGCAAACCCCTCGGTGGTCCGCGCGAGACCGGCACCGGTCTCGACCGGTCCGCGAGACCGAGAGCCGCCAGCCGGAGTTGCCGGAGGTCAGCAGCCCTGACGCGCACGCCGCGCGCACGCCACAGCTCAGGGCGCCGCGGCGCGTGTACACGTCATCTCACAGTGTTCTCACAGTTCACGGCTTCCCCGCGTTTCTTGAATTCTTGCGTGTGTGTCCGTTGCGTGGCTGTGTCGTGTGTGGGGGGGCTGCGGCTGTGGGGGGTGGGCTGGGGGCGCGGGGCGGCGCACATTGTCATGTGCACGCATGCGCATGTGCATGTGCATGTGCATGTGCATGTGCATGTTTTGCGCGCAGAGTGCCTGTATTAGCTAGTAGTAGTACCGCATATATCACAGCGAGAGCAGTGTGGAGGCGAAGGGAAGAAAGCCCCTCGCCGACCCCGCTTCATATACCCCTCGCATCAGCCTCTCGCTCTCCCCGCTCTCCATCACAATCAAAGGCCGGACACGCATTAACGGCTCATTCTCCCCGGATTGGGATCTGTCCCTCCTACTCCTGACTCCGCAGCCTCCCCGAGCTCACGCCGCGGGCCCACCCCACAGCCGCCGGGTTGCGTGGCCGCCTCAGAACTCGACCAGCGGTGGCGGACGAGGCTCCTGTGTGCTCGGCTCCAGGTTCGCCATTCTGGGCGGGCTCGAGGATGTGGAGCGGCTGCCCCAGCCGTCATCCCCGTCCTCGTCGATGTCGAAGTCGTCCCACGTGTCGATCTGCTCGTGCGAGATGGTTGACCCCGCCTGCGACGCGTTGTCGGCGATATCGAGCGCGCAGCACATAGGCGCGAGGGAGGAGGCGTCATACGCCTCGCCGTGCACCGAGGAGTAGGCTCCGCTGCGCAGGCCGCGCCGGCGGCAGCACTTCAGCAGCAGGAAGAGTGCCGCCGACGCCGCCCCGACTCCCCCAAACACCTGCGCCCACCAGCGCCTCTGCGCCACCGCCATCTGCCGCAGGACCGTCTCCTCGTCCTCCTCCGACGGCGCCTTGGCGGCCGGCACGGGCACGGGCACGGTGACAGCCACAGGCACGGGGACAGGCACGGGGTCTGCCGCCGGTGGCGTGACGGGCTCGGGATCGGGCGCCCCCTCGGCAACTGCCGCGACCGACGCGGAGGCCCATGGCGGGCTGTGGCGTGGCGGCGAGGCGTCCGGCGGAGGTGGGGGTGAGGCATCGGGTGGCGGCGAGGCGTCGGGTGGCGGCGGCGGCGGCGGCGGCGGCGGCGGTGAGGCATTGGGTGGTTGCGGCGAGGCATCCGGCGGCGGCGAGGCATCCGGCGGCGGCGGCGGCGGCGGCGGCGGCGGCGAGGCGCTCGGCGGCGGCGGCGGCGGCGGCGGCGAGGCGCTAGGCGGCGGCGGTGGTGAGGCGCTAGGCGGCGGCGGTGGTGAGGCGCTAGGCGGCGGCGGCGGCGGCGGCGGCGAGGCGCTAGGCGGTGGCGGTGGTGGTGGTGGTGAACTGCTCGGAGGTGGTGACAGACTCGGAGGCGGAGGAGACACACTGGGAGGCGGAGGCGGCGATCCGTTCGTGGGGGGGGGGAGGAGGGATACGGCCGGTGCACTCGGTATGGCAACAACAGCCGAAGCTGCGGGCTGGGCATTGCCGGCCGGAGCCGCCACTGCTGCAAGGGGTGTCACGAGCGTCGCTTTGACAAGAGGCGCCTGTGACGGGCCGATCACTGTGGTCGCGTTGACCGTCACCAGCAGCGGTGTGCCCGCCACCTCCACTGGCGGCGCCGCCATCGGCGGGACGGCAAACGCTTTGTCGGACTGGGAAGAGTCGGGGGAGCTATGTCTCTCCGCGCCGCGCCGAAGCTCTTGCCAAAATAAAAGAATTCTCCGATCGGGCCCTCAGCGGAGCTGGGAATAGGACCGCCGCAAGCGGCGTGGCGTGGAGCGGTTGCGCATCCCTCCGGGGGCCCCTCTGCGCCGGGGAGGCGTTGTTGGAGGCTAGGACGCAAGCGTCCGTCGCCCTTTTCAAACTCGGGGCCCACTCCGCTACGTCGCTGCGGGCCGACGATTGTGGACTGATCGATCGTCGGCGGGCGGTGTTCTCGAGTGTTCAGCTGGGACGTTCTACGTTAAAAGAGCGTCGGCGCCGACACGAGAGACTTATAAGGGTAGAAGTTGTCGCGACAGTCGCGGAGCAGGAGGTGGTGAAGCCTCCGTATTTCTTCTTCGCCGGACTCCCGCTCGGGCACAACTGCGGCACAACTGTCTTGCTCACTCGCAAACCCACTGGCAACCAGCTGCGATCTGTCGCGAGCGAAACCGCGTGCCGATGAACGCCGAGTCCTCCGTGGCTGCGCTCGATGTAGCGAGGAAGCGGTACGAGGACGGAGACGACGAGGGCGCTCTCCGGTTCGCTCAAAAGGCGGTGCGGCTTGACGACGCAAACGACCAGGCGAAAAGCTTCTGCACACATCTCGAGAAGTTTGGCCCTGGCTCGGCTGCCGCGGAGGCCGTCAAGGCGGTAATCGACGCTCCCCACTTCTACGCGATCCTCGGTGCGCGCCGCTCTGCGCTCCGCCACACCTCTCCCGACCAGGCGCCGCCGTCACCGCGGCTCGCTCGGCGCCACCGCAGGCACGACGCAGGCCGAGTTTGACCCGGAGAAGGAGCGATCGCTGTACAAGAAGCTGTCGTTCAAGGTCCACCCGGACAAGAACCACGCGCGCGGCGCCGAGGAGGCCTTCAAGAAGCTCTCCGAGGCCCACAAGGTGCTCTCCGACGCCGACCTCCGCCAGCGGTACAACGTCGAGGTGATGATTCCGCACCAAGGGCGGTTCCGCACGTACGTCTCCGCGCCGGCGGCGGCGCCGGCGCGCCAGTCGCCGCCGCCGCCCGCCGCCCCCGCCGACGAGGGAGGCCAGTCGATGGCGAGCCGGCTCAACAAGATGCTCGCCTCTCACCGGCTGGTCGAGCTCAAGGAGCTCTGCCGCCGGCTGGCGCTCAACGCAACCGGCGCAAAGGCGGTGCTCTCGTTGCGCGTCGCCGAGAAGCTGGCGGAGCAGGCGTCGTTCGACGCGGCGCTCGAGCAGCTCAAGCGCCTCCTCGAGCAGGTGTACGCCGCGGAGCAGGCCGCCGCCACCGTCCTCAAGGCGAGCAGCAGCCCGGCGTGGGGCTCCGCCTCGGCGCTGCGCTGCATCATCAACGTGGCGGTCGCCGCGGGCGTGGCGGCCAAGGCGCTCGAGGCGGCGCGAGGGCGGCTGGCCGAGCTCGAGGCCGCGGCGCCAGCGCCGGTGGACGACCTCGACGATACGGCAGGGGGGGAGGCGGCAGGGGCGGAAGCGTCGGAGGCGGCAGGGGCGGCGGCGGAGGCGGAGGTGGAGGCGAAGGAGGCGGCAGGGGCGGAGGCGGAAGAGGCGGCGGAGGCGGCGGAGGAGGAGCGGGTGGTGACAGAGCCGCCGCCGGCAGAGCCGCAGGCGGTGCCGGAGGCGGCGGAGACCGTGACTTTCCCCGAGGAGCGGGCGGCGGCGTGGCTGGAGGAGCAGGTCACAGCGGAGAGCGACCTCGACGAGCTGACGGCGAAGAAGCTGCGGCTCGCGTTCGAGGCGGCGTGCTCGCTGCCGCCGATGGTGAAGAAGTGCCGCAAGGACTTCGACCGGCTCGTCCTCGCGCGGGTGAGCGAGGTGCGGGCGGAGCGCGAGGCGGAGGAGGCGCGCGAGGCCGAGAGGGCGAAGCGGGAGCAGGCCGCCGCGAGCAAGAAGAAGCGCGTGGAGAAGGCCGCCGCGGCGTCGGAGGAGGCGGCCACGTCGGCGGCGGTCAACCGGCCGCGCCGTCAGCGCTCGGCTCCAAAGTGGATGCCTTCGATGGACGACGACGAGGAGGCGTCCGAGGGGGCGTCGCCGCTCCCGCCATCAGGCGGGCGCCGGAGCCGGGGCGCGCGCCGATCGCCCGACAGCAGCGTCGTCGGGGAGGAGAGTGGCTCGCCGCTGCCGGCGTACCGCTCTTCGCCGGGGAGCCCTCCGCCGGCGGCGAGCCCTGCAGAGGTGGCGGGCCCCACGGCAGCGGCGGAGCAGGCCGAGGGCGGCGGCGAGTACGAGGTGGACCAGATCCTCGATGAGCGGACGCACCGCGGCAAGGTGCAGTTCCTCGTGCGCTGGGTCGGCTACGGCGCAGAGGCGGACAGCTGGGAGCCGCTCGCACACCTGCAGAGCGCGAAGAAGCGCGTCAAGGAGTTCCGCGCGGAGAAGCTGCGCCTGGCGGCAGAAGCGGCCGCCGCCGCCGCCGCCGCCGCGGCGGCAGCTCTCGCCGACTCGAGCGACGACGAGCCGCCGCCGCCAAAGAAGGCGCCGACGCTGCCGTCCAAGCCGGGTGGCAAACGCGGCAAGGCTACTCCCGCCCCCCCAAAGGCTGGCAAGGCGGCTGCCAAGGCCGGCAAGGCGGCTGCCAAGCCCGCCAAGCCCGCCAAGCCGGTGGCGGACAGCTCAGACGACGAGGGGCCGGCTGCCAAACGCGCGCGGCCGGCCAAGTCCGCGTCGGCGGCTAAGCCGGCGGCCAAGCCAGCAGTCGGAGCGGGGCGGCGCAAGCCTCGCGCGCGGCTGGTGGACGATGACCACTCGTCGGACGAGGAGGCGGGCGGCGTCTTCTCCGCGGCCGGCTTCTCGGAGGCGTCGCTCGCCGAGGGGATGGTCGGCGTGAGTGCCGAGGAGCTGGAGGGTCTCGCGGCGGAGGTCGCGGCGGAGGTCGCGGCGGGCGGTGCGCTCGGCGCCCTCGACGAGTCGCTCACGCTCGACGAGCTGCTCGCCGCGCACCAGCGGGAGGCGGCGGGCGGGGCGGCGGCGGCGGGCCGGGCGGCGGACCCCGACGAAGCGCTCACCCTCGACGCGCTGCTCGAGCGCCACCGGGAGGAGCGCGGCCGCCACGCCGCCCCCGCTTCCGCCGCCCCTGCTTCCGCCGCCGCCGCCGACTCGGCCAGCCCGGCATCGGATGCGAAACCCTCCCCGCCGGCGCGCAAGCCCGCGCGCGCGAGCAAGGGCGGCCGGCGCAAGAAGGCGGTGCGGGCCGCCGACTCATCAGACGACGACGACGACGTGCTCTCCGGCGACGAGTGGACGATCGAGCAGGGCGGCGGAGAGCTGCAGGCGAGGGCGATGGGCAGCGTCGGAGTGCCGCTCGCCAAGCAGCGCGAAGTGCGCGTGTCTTCGAGCCGCTTCGCGCGCGACCAGCCAAAGGCGAAGAAGGCGCGGCAGGAGCAGCGGCAGAGGCGGAAGGCGGCGGCCGCCGCCGCCGAGGCGGCCGAGGCGGAGGCGAGCCGGTGGAAGCCGCCTTCGTGGATGGAGTACCAGACCGACTCGGACGACTCGGACGGCACCGTCGTGCGCAAGAAGGAGATGAAGCGCCGCGCCAGGGAGGCGAGCCATGCCGACGGCGCCACTCCCGCGCCGGCTGCCGCGCCGGCCGCGCGTGCCGCCGCGGAGGAGGGGGCGCCCGCAGGAGGAGCCGTGCCGCCGGCGCCCGCAGCGCCCGCCTCTCCTGCAGCGGCCGCCTCGCCGGCGATGCCTGCGGGGCTTGCCGAGAGCGCCGCGGCTGGGGTTGCGCAGCCGCCCTCGCTGCCGCCCTCGCTGCCGCCCTCGCTGCCGCCCTCGCTGCCGCCCTCCCCAAAAGCCGCTCCTCCGGCGGCGGTTCCTCTGGCACCTCTGTCGGGGCAGACGCAGCCGCCGCGCAAGTCCGAGAAGCGGCCCCGGCCCGAGGAGATGAAGGTCGAGGTGCCGGCCGGCAAGGAGGCTCGTACGGAGGGGGGCAGCAAGGCGTCGCCGCTCACCTCGACCGTCGAGAGCAAGCACCGGCGCAAGCTCGACGAGGGCCTGGTCGGCAAGGCGGTGCGCGCCGTGCTGAAGAAGGCGGGCGCCAGGGCCTTGGAGATGAGTCGCAACCAGGTGGGGGGCCGCAGTCCTCGCCGCACACCCCAAGCCAGCCCACCGACCTCTGGCCCCCCCTCCCGCGCTACAGATCAAGGACAAACTCACCTCGCACTTTGGCGCTGACATGGGGCCGTGGAAGGCGACCATCAAGCAGGCCATCGCCGGCTGGGTCGCGCAGCAACAGGCTGCGTGATGCGCGGTGCCGCCTCACATCCGGCTTGCGCCTGACAGCACGGTGTGGGGGCAGCGCACTTCGGCTCTGCAGAGCCGGAGTGGTCTAGATATAGGGCGACCAGATACGACCGCCCGACTATGTCCGGTGTGTGCGTCTGAAAGAGATCATCCGCGGTTCTTGTGAGATCTCCCCCCCGCATGCCGATCATCACTTTCACACCACGCCACAACAGCAACCGCCAACCCATGCACGCGCCACGGCCGATGATCCTTGGACGCGACGTCGCCACCCTTGAACTTCTCATACGGTG